GCCATGTTTCCGCGCCTGCTTGCAGTTCCCATCACGGCTCCGGCCCACGGAGGGTGTCGCCGTGCCACTTCAGTCCCACGGGGCTACGGCAAACCCGGTGTCGGTGACCCGAGGTGCGATGGCAGAGCTGATTAATTGTTGTTAGCGATTGAAGCGTGAAATGAGCGCGGCCATAAACCCAGCTGAGCCAGGCCTCGGGAATGGCATGGCGATGCGCAGGGGCTCTGCAGCCTCCTGAGTGACGGTGCGGAGCCTGTGCACAGGGACAGGGGTGATGCTACGTCGTCCATCCCCTAGAAGTGACGTGAATGATTTTGTTTCATCTTCAGTGAATATGCTGGTGATAGACCCGAAAGGCAAAAATGAGAATGGAGCAGCCAATGTGTGAAATTGCCTCATACATTACAGAAGCAACTGCACTGAGGAGCAGGAAAAGATATTTTTCTTGTGTTTGTCTCTTCCTGCACTGAAGTATGAGTTAAATATGTTCTGCAGCCAGTTAGCAAAGACTTATGCAAAGTGCTGAACTCCCATTGTAGAGAAAAGACGAGGGCTTCTGTGTGTGAATTCCAGTAGCTGGGCAGCGAAGCCTAGTGGCTACTGTTTAGGTCAGCAGTGCAGCAGCGTTTTAGTATCTCGCTGCTCACCCTCCTTCCCAAATACAGAAAACCTGAGCAATTTTTCTCATGTTCAGTCTCTAGTTCATGGCTGGTGAATCAAGGATCCCTGGCCAGTGGAAAAAAGCAGGTGTTAGAGGAAAAGTCCAAAGACTTTTCAGTTGGGAGAAAACCAGATTGTTAGGTAGAGAAAAAGCTTTGTCTTTTCTGCTGGAAAAGCTGGACTTTGTGTTCATTTGTTGTTAAATTCCAAGGAATCCACTGAGGTAATACACTATGAATGAACAAGAAAAGCTTCAAGCAGAGTGTGAACTCAAGTTACGAGATGCAAATATTTTAAGAATTTTTTAAAATTCTTTTAAAAAGAATTTTAAGAACCTTTAAGAATTCTTTTAGAATTCTTTAAGAACTATCTTAATTAAGTTAATATCTGTAGAATTGTCTTTTCTTTAGCATCCTTCTCATCTAGAGGTGATTATTGATCCTTTTCTGTCTAGGGTGGTGCTCCTTTAAGATCTCTCTTGCAGTGAATATGACTTCTAGGTAGCATTTGTACTTTTAGCCCCGCCATCTCCACATCGAACACGTACTTAACATTTATATCCCCGAGCTCTTTGGGCCAGTTTACTCACTGACTAAGCTTTCGAAACTCTGTCCTTTCAAAATAGGGAATTCCTGTTGCAAACGTCTTTGATTTATCTTCCTGATCGATTCACTCAAAGTGAACTCTCTTGTGATGAGTTTACTCATGCAGTTATTTCCTGCAGGCAGGTCTCCCCCAATAGTCCTGCTGTTTGTTGTGGTTACTCAATATTGTGAAGAAACCTGTTATTTCCCTTACAAAAAAATACATGTGTACTCAACCGTTTTCAGAAGCAATTGTTTCGCAGCCTACACTGAGGAGGCCAAAGTGTAATTTCCAAATAACTTGACAGATGCTTTTGTCAATAGCCAGATCTGGTTTGTGCAGCAGTAGAGGCGACTCCCGCCAGCTGAGATACATTGGCTTTACCCAACATTACCTTGTCCTAAAGTCAACCCTGTTAAGTCCACATTATGCCCTCTTACTCTTTTACAGTCTGTAACATTGTTTGTCATCATGCTGGTTTTAGTTAATTTTTCTAATAGCTCATGCTCTTCCTGCTTCTAAGTGCTATTCGACCACATTTCAGTTATCCCTCAGTTAACCAATGTCACATCTTCGATCAGCAGCTTAAGTTTCTTCACTTCATCTGGTGGTAATGCTGCAGCAATCTTGGGCCTTCTGGTGACCGCCAGAAAGGAGTAGAAACTACTTTCTCCCATTCTTTGTGTAACTTCAGGCCTCTTTTTTGTGGCTTTTCTGATTGTTTTGCCTTCTGAAGCTATGGAAACTGGCTACAGCAAGAGACAGGATGTTAGGGGGGAGGTTGGATTCCTTAGAGTTACTGAGAAACATTGCAGGCATCTGTTTGATATCTAACTCATGTGCAGGTTTAAACGAAGTGCCAGAGTTTGGTGAAGAAGGAATTTCTCTTCTGGTTTGGACTGGCAGAGTTCTGCATTTGTAGAAACATCAAAGCATTCTCGCTTATCAACTCTTTCCTGTTATACAGATAATGATTCTTCCTCCTTTGACAAACTGTAAGTTGGGTCTGAGGTTTGGGATGCTGTGGTGTGCGTGGAGTAAATACTTCCTTGTGAACTAAATGTCTGGTACACAGGTTCCCTGGGACTGCAGGGAAGCACTCGATAAACACAGGACAGGAAAGGACCACCCAAGTTCTCTTCTGACCAGGCTCTTTGAGTTAATACCCAAGTTTTTCTGTCTTGCTGATTATACTCAATTTATGAAAATTTTCTGATGGTTTTGCTCACTGCCAATAGTTTCTCCCTGTTGCTCATCCTCCAACCCTCTTAACACTTCTTTAAGAATTGCCTTATGCCTATTCCGGGTTCTTCCTCCTGTTACTAAAACAAGCAAGGCAGATTACAAGGAATGTTAATTTAAGGAGTAAAAGACTTCAGTAAATGGGCACATCTGCTTTGATTCCTACCCACAGTTCATGTTACATACATATATTTTTGTTAAGTCCCTCCTATAAGCATTCTGCTGGCAGGCAGACATTCCGCAAATTCATCATGTTGCTGTGCCTTTGACATCTTCTCCAGTGCCAGAAAGACTGCTACCAAATGTTACCATGAGCATCCATTTCTTTCTTGTCCAGTCTCCTTCAGTTTAGGTTAATTCGAGTGAAGTTACTTGCACAGGAACAATTCTAGTTAACTCTGTACTTGAAGTCTTTCAAAACTATAATTATTCTGAAAAACAAGTTACGCAGATCAAATCCTACAACTGTTTCTCAGTCCTCATTTGACTAAACATGGTCTTCAAGTGTTTATGACAATAGTTAAACATTTCGCTTGAAGAAATGTCACTTGGATTGAGAGAAGAAAACTAAGGATATTATTTGTGAAATGTACAATTATACACTGAGTGTCAACTCTCAGGCTTGTTGGCTACCCTCTTCTTGGCTGGAAGCAGAGAAGATGAACTTCAGTTGTGACAGCCTGGAAGAGGCTATGTTTTGAAAGTGTCAGTATACCGTTATTTCAGGGATGAGTTTAGTAGGTGAGCCTGCAGCAAGCAAAGAGACAGTATGAGGGGTAAGACTGATGTGTTCCCAAAGTTTCCTGCAATATCTGTAGAGGCAAGGTGCTAGCAAGAAAGCTATTAACATGTCAAGGCATTTCCCAAGGACAGATATTATCTTCACTGTACATCTGCATACAGACAGCTGAGTTCAGCTATTCTCTGCAGCCTGGACCAGTGTAAGGCACCACAGGATAAAAGCTCTATTAAAGTTTGGAAATTTTTCTTAATTATATCAAGAATATAAATTTTCAATCTTCTCCTTTACTATAACGCCCATTCCAGCATTTTGGCCAGGAAGCACGCTATGGCATTTTGGCCCCTGGTGACCTTCGTATTGTCTCTCTCCTCTCAGCCTTAAGACAATTCTTCACACCGCAGAGCAGAGATCAGAAGAACAAATTATATTGCTAAAAATTAGAGAGTAATGGAGAAGACATGAGAATGAGGAGTTACAGCTTTGAAATATTTTTTCTACTGCACTTGTCCATGTGGCTTAACCATCTCTTTTCCCTCCCTCCTCTGAGCACCTCCTTCCTTGCAGGAAATGCTGCAGGTCTCTGTGAGACTCTCTTGATCCACAGCCATTGCTCTGGATTCCCCCCACTTACTCTGCTCCCAGCCCACATCAATACTTTTCCCAGTTTGATACCTTCCTGTCAAAGTCTGATACCTTCCTCCTCTTCCCTGACACCTAACGAAAGGCTTTGAGATACGCAAGTGCCAAGCAAACAAGAGGGAGAGGTCTGTCCCAACCCAACCCCATCCTCCCGCCACCACTTTGCATACAAGCAAAAGGATTGAGCTGCCAGCTAACTCAGTACAGACACAGGAATCCAAGCAGAACACTTAACACTTTGTACAGTTGAATAAAAGCCCATCAGTTCAGAATTAAAATCTTCCAGACCACTGGTGCAGAGAAGGGACACCAACTGGTGCAGATTTGATGGCTTTTTGTCCAGAAAGCAGATTCCAATTTGTTTGTGGGACAGGTGTCAGGAAGTTTCCCAGAAGAATACTTGTCCTGTTGCAGGCGCAGCAATAAGAAACTTCTAAAATTTCTGTGGTTTCATTCTCAGCCAGGGTTGCATCACCAATATTTAATTTGGAATGCTGAAATAACTTTTTCCAATGATCCCAATGAAGAGGGAGTTAGGCATCTTCTGAGCACTGCCGCTCTCTCTTTCCCACGTGCTTTTCCCAAGATACAGGTAATCAGGCCAAGTCAGAACAAGATGAATAAAAACAGACTCTTCCAAGTATCTTTTTCTTAGAAGATCAAGGCTATGAAGTCAGTCCAATGTCACCCACAGTCCTATGAGCAGAGTCCCAGCAAAAAAGAAAGCAGGAGGGTTGCAACCAGAAGGACCCTTATCCTTGCTCAGAGTCCTGGCATCGATGGCTTGGCTGGACAGGTTAGAATCGAGGAGCTCCATAATCATCTGGCATCCTCTCAATATTGTATCTGAGAAAGAAAGAGGGAAAACCTATGAAGACAACCTATTCCACATCACTCCCCATGCAGTAACAGGCTTACAGGCAGCCTGAACAGCAAGAAGCTTTGTTGCATTTCTCTCTGTAGCTCAGATCCCCAGGACAAAACATTAATTTCTAAAGTGAAAAGCCTTCACAAGGTTGCTGTTATCCTTCACCTCAAACTCAGAAATCGGGCATCTCAAAAAGTCACCATCTCCAGAGAAGGAAAAAAATGGTGGTTTTGTAAGATGTGACTTAGGAGTTAAGGGCAGACTACCAGAAGGAATAAAACTTTGGCCATTCAACTTATGATTCATGGCCACAGTGAATAAAGGGCAAAGACGTTTTGAGAGAAAAATCTTCCGAGCCGTGTTCTAATTACAGATCAGTTCAGACTTTACATACATATAACAATCAGCCTCCTCATTTCTGAGGAGATACTGCTCTTCCTGCATGTTACTAGACTCATTGTCTCCACTGCTAGCACAACTGCCTCCCATCAGAAGTCTTCAGCCCTTTTCTCTCCATGTCCTGACTTCTTCCTTTACCATCCTACCAAACAAATCTACCACAGTGTGAAACAATTTGGCATAGGTTCTATGCACGATACATCCTCTGGGGTCTACATTATGCAGAAGAAATATCAAAACACTGGATATGACAAACAAAGGTGAGTAAAGTCTTCTTAGTCTAGGCTTTACGAGCACTTCGGAAGGAACAGGAAATTAATTTAAGTAAATATTTTTGCAGTAGATCACTGGTTCTATTGCATATTAAAAAAAAAATAATAAAATGAGCCAGTACTTGCAGATACTGGAAAAATCTGTTGCATTGAAATTGCTGCACTAGCATCCTTCCAAGTTGGTTTGGTTTTTATCTAAGCAGCAAATTCAATCTCTTAGCTGACAGTACACAAAGCTACCCAATCGAATATGGAACAAGAATGGTTCTTTTCCTCAAGAACCTGTAGAATATACTTGCCTGGTAGTCCTGCTGCTACTGGTAAGCAAAACTCGTCTATGGAAACACTGGCCTCAAGGCAACTAGTTTTCTGGGTAAAAGCAAGTGACCATGTAGACTGCAGTAAAAGTGGGTCTGTGACCAGTCTCTTCCCAGCAGCAGCTGTACTTTTATTTTCGTGCAAACGCTAGGCCCTTTACTGCAACCTGCACTACAGACGATGCAGGAGAGAAGAAGTACGTGGTGACAGAATCCCTGTCAGACAAGGATTCTGCCAGGCAGTGTTCCTCCCTGTCAGAGGTCCCTTACCTGTGCCTGGAAATATACATTATAGGCACTCCAGGGATTTTTCGTATTCTCCTCTTGAGCTCTTTATCCACTGTGGCCACAATGTAACATTTGTGCTGCAAAAAAAGAGGCCAGTCAGATTCAACACCAGATCCAATGCGCAGAAAGGAGACAAAGCTGAGCAAAAGCTTCTATTCAGTGAGCTCATTTAACACGTCTTGTGTGGCTATGAGTCCTTAGCGAGGCATTACTAGGACTTGTACAGAATTCTACAGCAGACTAGTAACATCATTCTGCTCATCAAAATAGACTCGTAGAAATATTCAAAGTCTGTCCAGCCTTCCCAGCAGACAGCTTTCCCATCCCAAGTGCTTCTTGATGCCATCCTATACAACAAGAATGCTCAGGGAAGACTATACCTTGCTTCAAATAAAATTGTGCTAGGGACTGAAACTGCCCCTTAGTGAGATTTTACAGTTACTTTGTGGGAAATTTAAGTCATCAGTAACTAGGAGGGTTCAGGAATCTTTAGTATGTTAGCACAGCATAGAAAATTTCAGAAATAGAAATACCTGAGTGACCCTCTGTACCAAGCAGTCGTCTGCATAGGTTCCTTTATGCATACACGGCAAGCGTTCAAACCGAGGGTCCTTGGCAATTCTGTGGGGACATAAAGCAGCATCACAGCAATTAGACCAGACTGTACACAGTATGGAGGAACAAGAATGCCCCTTTCTGTGATCTGCAGCACTTTATTCTCAAAATAAGGGATGAAGTGATGGAGCGAATGGTATATAACAGTCAATTGAAATGAGGAGCAAAAGAATGCAATTTCTCTGGATAATTATTATAGGTTAAGTATTTCTTAGTACTTGTTAGTCGGATTCAAGATCCCTACAATGTTAGGGTCTTGCCTAACAAAGTAAGTTGAAACAAGATATCTATGGGAAGAACTAGAACTTCTGGTATCTGATAGTTCGTACAATGCATACAGGAGCACTTCACCTGCTCTCTGAAGGGGAATATCAAAGCTCTTTAGAGGATGCACTCAGACACTTTACAACACAACAGGCCAAAAATAAAAAGTAAAGAATAATACATTTGACTGGTACACCTGGAAAGCACAAAATACATTTGACTAGTTTTGTACAGATCACACAATAACCTGGCCCTAGGTTATCAGTACATGCAACCTACTCCTGCAGGAATAACATGAGACATAAGTGAAAAGTGCCATAAGTCTTGGGTCACTTCTTTCTTTATTTTTAGAAATTTCTATAATTAAACAAAATAATCTATATGTATTTTGAGAAACAGGAGGAATTGGTATTTTGAAAGTCTTACAGGATAAAAAGATTTACAGATCAGTATTGTGCACTCATACCTAGCATTTAGTTTCTCAAAAAATAATCTGAAACTTGAGCCATTGTACTGATCTCATACAGATAGAGAAATAAAACCAAGCTCAGGGCTTTGCAACAACCTAACCACCCTCTAATGCAAAAGCAACATCAGGGAAAGTGCTTTTCTTTTATTTATACTAAAACATTTAAGTTCTAGAAATGGAAAAGAACACCCTGCACCTACCTTAACGCCACACGGTACTTCTGTCCTAACTTCTCAATTTCACCCATTACACAATCTGTGATACATGGAATACCTACATGCAAAAAAAAGCCTGTATTAAACCAAGCAGTATTTCCTCACAGACCTCTACATATTATTGCCCACATGCCCAGGAACTATCATGGAACTCTATAACATATTACTTACAGTTTTAAACTTATGAGAAGTGATAAGGTTGCAAAGTGATGAAATGTAGAGCCAGTGAGTTTGAGCATGCTATGGTAATTTTAGATTTTTAAGTTACTAATGCTTTACCTCTGTTGAGATTAGCATTTAAGGCTGCTGTTTGACAGAAACCAGAGACAGTTCCCGGGTTACCACAGCCATGAACAATGAGCTTGATGATTATACCACATATCCTTTTTTCAAGATTTCTGTTATCCTCAGCTAGTGGCATGAGGCTGATAAAGCACATCACGAGCACACCGTGGCACTACATGGTCCAGAAGAAGTGATGCAAACACTCACACTTGGCATAGAGACAGTCCATCATTGACTGCACTAGGTCCAGCTTGGCCTTGATGGAGAAGTTGATGAAGTTGGTGTCAACCAGGATGTGATAAGGGGGGCCCAACTGTGTATTATACTGGAAGAACAAGCAAGAAGGGTGCTGGGGGCTGCCAAGAAGACAAAGAATTCAAATCAGTTAATTGCAATTAGCAACATATCCAATCCTACAATTTGCACAGAATGAAAGAAGGGTAACGAGCAAAACCAACAGAAGGCAGCGTGGGATGGTGACCTGCCAGGCCGCCCAATCCCAATCCCAATCCCTTGGTTTGGGGCACTGTCTCCTACTCTGGCAGTTTTGCTCAGAAACACCCTTAGCTGCAGCCTGTAGCGTGGCCGGCGGGCCCTCCCTCCTCAGAGCCTTGGTAGCACTTACACCTCCCGCTCCTTGATGGCACTCGGGTCCTCCTTCTTCTTCGCGGGGGCTTTCGCCCGGTCCTTCTCGTTACTGCAAGGAAACACAGGGGCACTCC